GGCAGACCATACTTGGATGCCTATAAAGAAAGCCGAGTGATATCAGATCTGTAACTTAGATAGTATATAATATTTTACATTAGCTTTGATCTAATAAAGATACTGGCAAGGCTGCCAATACATTAAAAAAAATTGATATATAACTATAATCAAATATAATTGATAGTGTTTCTAATCAATTAGTAACTTCTCTATTGATTGCAATCAATTAAAATTTATCAATACTAATTAATTAACTTGATTATAATCATTATATATCCTCTTAAAAAATTTTCCTGATGTAGAAGATAACTAAATATATAAATGCCAACTATTGACTAAAAGTATCAAGTCTTTAGTAAGTAAAAGTTAAAAACCTGAAGGGAGACCAAGTTCTATGGAGTCAAATCACATTGGGTATAATCTAAAAAGTTAGTTTTTTAATAATATTGTAATTATAACCAGAAGTGATTATTGTGAGTGTGATATAGTGAGGGTAAATGCATGTTAACAAACATTTTATTACTATAATAAGTCTAATAATTAGTTATGTAAAATAACTCTATCAGCTTATATGGGGTGTTTCATATTAAAAAGACCTATTTTGCAAATTTGTTGAAAAATAAGTTTTATTAAATTCATGTAAATTTTGACATAGCTAAATTTTTCAATTATCAATGAAAGGTGATTTGCATAATAAAAAATGAAGATAATATAAAAGGAAATTATATAAGACTGACTAAGGCCAAGCACATCACGAGATTACCTGATAGTTACCTGTTATCTTTAACCAATCAAAATCGTGCAATTTGCTTAATTCTGAAAATCAAAACAAATAATTAAACTCAATCATCTCAAAATTGTTTATATTGCAAACTGGGCCTTTTTAATGTGAAATATCCCATATATTAATTATATCTCTAAGTTTAATAATTGATTGAATTAAGAGCCGATATAAGCTATTTTTCAATCAGTGAAGATTGTAAATCACATGTGTCAATTGAAAAACTACATGTATTAATCGAAAAATCACATCAGTCAATTGTGAAATAATATGGGTCGAGTACTAGTTCATGTTCATATTTTAATCATCATATACTTTTATTGATTCAATAGTTATTCGATAAACTATTAAATCAATAAAGTTAAAAGATGGTTAACATATGGGCTAGGAGCTGGGAAAAGAGACCAAATTGACAATTTTTCAAAAGTAATTTTTTTAAATAAATAAATTTAGAATAATATTAGGATCATTTTTTATCTATAACACAAAAGTAGCTGCATTAATAAAATTTTGCAGTACAGTCTTTAAAGTTTCATTTTTCTTATAATCTATTATAAGATTTACAATACAAAAATTGATTTTCTGAAGATCTTTTGTTTTGTCAATTTGGTCCCTTTTCTCAGCACCTAGCCTATATGAACATGAACTGGTACTCAGGTTTATTTTGATCCGAATTAACCTGATTGGAAATGTCGGAAGGTGATTTTCAAGGCAAAGACCCTATATGTGTCAATTGTGAAATCATATATGCCAATTGAGAGCCGATTTAGAATCGACAGATTTTGTGATCGATATAGAACACATATAAATATTACACATACATACGTACCAATTTTTATTGAATCTATTGTTCCAGAATAATGATTTAACAGGATCAGTTGAAAATCATTCTGCTAATTTTTTTTATGAATTATGAAACTAGCTATAAATTCTCTATTTTTTGTAAATTACTACCGAAAATAATATTTCTAAAGCTTATACCAATATTTCATCACAATATTTATTATTATATTAGATCATTCTATTGGTCAACTAAACAATAAAAATTTTTGATTGTCTTCTCATAAATTTTGAATGAAGGAATCTTACTAATACCCTCTTATTTTCAATGTTCAAGGCTATTTTGAATTCTACAAATTATGTAATTCTAAAGTTGTATTAGTTATTTAAATTAACGAGAGATATTATTGAAATATGTTAGCCAAAAGTTCAAAAGCATGTTGATAATAAATTGATTACTAATAGACTAACATAATTTTTTAGTTAATTATAGATTTGCATTTTAAAAAAAATTTTGATTCTCAGATAGCGTTGCCAACAAAATTTCGTATGATTAATCATCACATACTATATTTTATATTTATTGTGCAAAAACATTGTTTTTGACCTACCGATTCATCTTTTTTGACCCGACCCATAAAAAAAAAAAAAAAAAAAATACATATCATTTTTGACTCGTGCATATAGCACAACAATACTGTTTCGGTCTTTTATTAAAATAAAATGTGACCAAAATCACTACTATATGGTCGGAATTAGAATTACAGTATAATTAGTTTGTAATAAATTGAAATTACTGCATAATTAGACTGTAATAAACTGAAAGTATATTGAAGTTTAGTATAATTAATCTGTAATCAATGTAATATTAAAGTTATGAAGTAAAATTATGTAATAATAAATATTTTATATAAAAGGCAAAATAATAAAGAGTGTAAATCTTTTTGCCTAGCGAAAACTGAAGAATACAAGTTATATTTCCTACTGCAACTCGCCTTTGATTAGACTACGAGAAGATAGTTTATCACCTGATAATAAATATACAATTAATTTTATACAAAATGACTTCCCATCCTTTCCGTATAGATAGTAATGGCAATGTTCGACTCCATTTGGGCGAGCAGTAAAACGTTACCTGTATTCACTTCCCATATCACAAAATATCTGTTATAAAGTCCAAAGCCAAAAACGAGTAAATGAAGTGATAAAACAAGGACTTGTGATAGTTGAGCATGTAGAAGGTTCTGTTGACTATCTTGGATAGAAGACTAAAAAAGGTGAAAGTAAATCAACAAACCACCTTGATGATTTTTTACGACTTACTGAAAATAGAAAATAGCAAGTCCAAGAAATACATGCAGGAAACAAAAGTGATATTAATGTTTGGCATGGATCTGGTTTTGTTTTGGTAAAGGCTGCTGCCAAAGATCGTGTGGTGGAATCGGCAAATGCATGGAAACATGTAATTACTATTCAGATCAACGTAACCTCAAGAATCCTTTTGATATGCATAAATGTAGTGTACGAATTCTTACAGAGGTTATGCTTTCTGAGGTTGAAATGGAATTTCCTATACGCATATCTATTAAAAGTAATCATATTCCACCAAATATTATTCAAGAAACAACTGCATTATCTCAAATTAATTTAAGTAGAGAAGCACGTGATCTTGCAATTACAAACCATTGAGCAGATAAGCAAACAGCAAATAAATAAAAATGAAACTCCTTGCACTATATAATGGTAATTCACAAAATGAACTTGAACATTTGTATAGTGGTCAAAATTCGATATGTGATGACGTGAAGCTTCGTCAACTTATTGAAAGAGATAGTTTATGTGCAAGAAAAAATGTAGGTTTCTGGACAATTGTGCATGAATTGGTAACTGGTATATTAAAACAAAAGGGTGCTATATTATACTACCAGCAACCTAATATGAATGTACCTGAAAACAATTCTGATCATTATTATCAACTTACCTTGAATGATGATTTATAGCTTCAGCAGTGCACGTAACTTTGGCTCATTTTGCTTTGGCATTGATAGAAAGTACGACTTAAACAGTGATGGGGCACCAATTTTATCTTTAGTAGTTGAGGTTAATGCAGGTTACAAAACTTCAATTGCATTTGGACTATCAAATAAAGAAAATAACCATATGATTAGACTTGCTGTAGAAGCTGTTCAGCGCAATATTCCGTGTAATGAAATTGATTGCATGCATGAATATGAATATATGGAGTTACCAAATAGTAAAGGATTTATGAGAGCCCGGCGGTGTGCACAATGATAGCAGCTATTTGTGATGATTGATAAGTATCGACTGACAAAATGGGGTTTTCAGCCTATTCTTCGTGGTGTAATTTTATGTTGTTTTCACATAATGCAAATATTTAGTGAACACTTTAAAAACTTAAGAATTGATGACCATTACCATTACCCAATTTCTATAGCTTTCAAAATAGTAGGCCAAAGCCAAAGTGTAGATGAAGCCTTAAAACTTGAAGAGGCTTATCAGCTTTTTATTAAATCTCTACCATTTACAGAAGTCACAAAAGAGTTTTTGTGTAATGATTTATTTTCCAATTGGTTGTCTGATGAATAGATCAATTGCTTT